AATTAAAAAATAGGGAGTTCTGTTCCTCCAAAGCCTCTTAATTATCCTAGTGCTTATATTTACTCATTGCTAGAGTAACTCAAACTTCATGCTTGCTATGTAGGACAAAATATATAGTTGGTACTGTATGGATAGGCCAACCTAACTTAATGCAAGGCAAAACTCCAAAAGAAGACACTCCAAAATCTAACATTCAAAAATTATGTCAGAATACAAGTTATTACTCCAGTCATTTGATCAGTAATTCATTTTTTTTCCTCCATAAGCTATGGACTTTTGAGCATCTCAGAGCTAGGGCAATGAACATTTGCTACACCAAAGTAAAATTAATTCAATGGTAATAGAAAATAAACAGGTAAAATTTTAACATAAAACCTATGAAAAGTTAGATCAACTCTAGAAACATTTCTTTCCATCCCCTCCTTTTTTCTCAGGCAGATCAACTGCAGCCATGGGCACACTAGACAAAGTAAACTAGAGCACCTAGCAGCATTAAAATCTTTCCAGAGATAGCACAACTGCAGACAGAAAACTAAACCCACCACCCAATCTACCACCAGGAAGGCAAGGCAGTTCTTGCCCTGAGGCAGATCTGGTTAGATCCATTGCAGTTTTCCATCCTCTTATAGCAGGGTCATACTCCTTACAGCCATTAGTGACTTGTATTCTAAAAGAATATCGTGACAGATTTATGCCTTTATTTCTTCTTCCTGTGAAATATAGCTGTGACTTTGGAGTTTTTTTATAGATAAAATTAGATTTATTATAGATTATTATAGGTTTATTAAGTTTGGGATAACCTATCAGAAACTGTTTATAGCTAATCTCCACAAAGCCCGCTGCCTTAGGCTAACTATTGCATGGCTTCCCACAGTTGTGGGACCTGGACATGGAGGAGAGCTGTGGGTTGGAAGTAAAACACTGCTTTGTTTCTTCTAACTCATAGCTCTTTGATCAGTTGTGTGACAAGAATAAAGACAGGGAGAAACTAGGCCTGAAATATTAGCACAGTTTGATTAAATATTGACCTGAGAATAAGCTATAACCAGAAGGAAATATCTGTGCTGGCATAATCGAGAAGCATTATTCATCAGCTAGAAGTTTAAAAAAAAAAATTTAGTCAGGCTTTGTTAGGAACCAGAAAACTGATATTCTGTTTGCTTTACATATACACTTCTTTCCAACTAGCCATTGCCAAGATCATGCTCTCATTCCACACCTCACTTTAGGAGCGGAAGGCAAACATTCATTGCTACTCAGAGCCCGAGTTGGATGCCAGGGTACACACAGCACTCTGCTACTCCCAGCCTAGACTGAAAGCCCCAGTGTACACACGTGGCCTCTGGCTGGTGACATCTGATTGACAGCACAACCTCAAGACACAAGCACCCACCTCCCTCCGCCGTGGGACTCAGGTCACCTTCGGTATTTCACTTGCTCTTTGTCAGAGCGCTACAAGCTCTGGCGAAAGGGGAACGAGCCAGAGGAAAAGGAGGAGGGCGGCAGCACCACCCAGACCGCGTGGGGCTCCCGGCAGGCAAGAGGCCGGGCGGCTCCCGGGGGATGCGAGTCCGTCGAGGCTTCGCCCCCTCCTCCCGTCTCTGAGGGCCACGAACAGCAAGGCCGGAGCCGCTGCTCCCGCTGCGGTCACGGCGGGCCCGGCTGCGGACAGCGAGCGCCTCCCCCAGTCCCCACCGAGGCGGTCCGGGTCCCAGGCCGACACGCCGCGAGGCCGCCGCGGTCCCAGGCCGACACGCCGCGAGACGCCGGGGTCGCCGCCCGCGCGGCCCTCACCTGCCCGCGCCGCCGCCGCTGAGCAACGGCCGCCGCCGCCGCGGGCTCTTTTCAAATCCGCCCAATGGCAGCGCGCGGCGCCGCGCGGCACGCTGGGAAGGGGAGGAGCCAACAGCGCAAGGCACGATAGGAAATGTAGTCCGGACGGGGGGGGGGCGGTGGCCCTGCGGGTTCTGCTGCGCGGGGCCGCCGCCGCCTCGGGCGGCCGTTGGCGCCGTTGGGGCCGTTGGCGATGGCGCGGCCGTTGGGCCACGCACGGCGGAGGCGGAGCGGAGCGCGGTAAGGCGGCGGGGCTAGCGCGGGTGGTGGCGGGTCCTGGCCGGGCCTAGCGGGGGCTGCCGGAGTCCGTTAG